GTACAGGCTGCAGACATGACGGAAGGAATCTGCTTCGGGTCACAACTGTTTGCACACAGAAAAATCAACAAAGAGGTTTCCTGCTGAGCCAGTTTTATAAGAAAGATGTTTTTCTCTTTAGCTCAACTCTTCATTGACTTAAATCATTTATTTCCTTGGAGAACTAAATTGAAGTATACAGTCAATAAAATAGTTTTCTGTGCTTATGCAAAAAAATATAAATAAAAAAGGAGGAAGAGGAGGAAAAGTTTAGTGGTTCTCATCACTTTGAATACAAACACACTTGAAAACATTCTGGAACATTCCTCTGATCAAAAGACTTTCACAGCAATCTATAGATGGCTTGAAAATGAACCAAATAAGGAAAAGCTGCACATTTGGATATGAAGAACAAATTTATTTGGAAATATTTAAATAATCTGTTTGTGGGAATTGAAATAATCAGATTATAACAGAGGAGCTTTATATTATTCCATGTTGCCCGGCGCAGAGGCTCACTTGGCTAATCCTCTGCCTGCAGCGCCGGCACCCCAGGTTCTAGTCCCAGTTGGGGCACCGGATTCTGTCCCGGTTGCTCCTCTTCCAGTCCAGCTCTCTGCTGTAGCCCGGGAAGGCAGTGAGGATGGCCCAAGTACTTGGGCCCTGCACCCGCATGGGAGACCAGGAGGAAGCACCTGGCTCCTGGCTTCACATCAGCGCAGAGCGCGGGCCGCAATGCATCGGCCATAGTGGCCATTTGGGGGGTGAACCAACTGAAGGAAGACCTTTCTCTCTGTATCTCTCTCTCACTAACTCTGTCAAAAAAACCCAAAAAACAAAAAACATTATTCCATGTAACACAGCATGTAACTCAGAACCAACACTTTCCTCCTCCTTGTCAAGTGAACTGTCCTAAAACAGACCATCAGAGTGTGCAGCCAGATCACTTGATAAAGGTAGGAGGCAGGTTCCTAAACTGGTTCACTCTCCATCAATTACGGGGTCTGAAAATTACACCAGTGGAAATTAATTTCTTGGATCATGAAGCTCTTTTGTTCATTGGGAAGAATCTTTTTTTTTTTTTTTAATATTTATTTTATTTAGTTGAAAGGCAGAGTTGTAGAGAAAGAGAGGTCTTCCATGTTGTGGTTCACTTCCCAAATGGCTGCAATGACCATGTCTGGGCCAGGCCAAAGACACGAGATTCTTCTGGGTCTCCCATGTGGGTGCAGAGGCCCAAGGACTTGGTCCACCTTCTGCTGCTTTCCCAGGCACATTAGCAGGAAGCTGCAATAGAAGTGGAGCATCTGGGACTTGAACAAGCGCCCACATGGGCTCACTAGCTCAGGTTCACTAGCCATCAGGGAAATGCAAATCAAAACCACAATGAGGTCTCACCTCACCCCAGTTAGAATGGCTCTCATATAGAAATCAAAAAACAATAAATGACGGTGAGGATGTGGGGAAAAAGGAATCCTAATATACTGTTGTGGGAATATAACTGGTACAGTCATTGTGGAAGACAGTATAGAGATCCCTGAAAGATGTACCACATTGCTGGCCCCAGAAGCTATTTTTTTAGTGCAAATGCCCCTGGGATGCATGACTCATTAAATATTACATTATATTTGATTCTGACCAGTAGCTGAGAGTGTTTTCGGGGTGTTGGTTCTTGTCCATCACTCCTTCTTTCCAGTAATGGGCTATCCCTTCCTTTAAGGAAATGATTCTTTGCCAGTCAGAACATTTTCCTACCCCACCCATTTCCCCTCACCCTGCCATTCAGTGGCAGGTGTGTGACCAAAGCTCACTCCATCAAAATTTCCCACCCTGGCCACTAAAACTGTAGTTCATATCCAGGGGTGGACCAATCAAACCCAGCACAGAGTTCTTCCTTGTACTATTTCTAATGAGAGTTGGTAAAAAAAAATTTCTTGCTTGCTTCTTTGGAGGGCCAATTATAAGAGCAGCCCACAGATGCTGAGGGTCATGTTTCCAGTCTTTGCTGACATCCAGCCTCAGAGAATGAAGTCTCAATGCAGAAAGCAGCAGAGGTAAGTGACACAGAGTGTCCTGATGGTATCTAGACTCTGCGTCCATCGGAATGTAAGGCTAATGGCATGCCTGTGAGTCTCTGGTTTGTTTACAGATGCTAATAAATCATATTTTCTCCTTAAAGTCTTATGGCTCAGGCATCTGGCATTTGTAAACAAGGACACAAGGTAACTAGGGGAAGGATGGTGTTTAAGTCAGAAATATGTACGTGGGGGTGGGTTATCCCTGATTGTTTTGTGGTTAGAGACGGGTCATGGTGTGTTGAAGTTACTGGACTTTGTTTTTCAGGCTTTATTTTGAAGTGAATTCAGAGGTATCACCTCACCCACTGTTGGTGAGAATGTGAACAAGTACAGCCACTGGGGAAGACAGCATGGAGATTCCTCAGAAATCGGAAAATAAATCTACCATGTGACCCAGCCATCTTACTCCTGGGAGTTTACCCAAACAAAATGAAATCAGCAGATGAGTCATCTGTACCCCCATGCTCACTGCAGCTCAATTTATATTAGCAAACATACGGAGTTCACCAACAGATGAATGGATAACGAAAATGTGGTGTATATGCACTATGGAATACTACTTAACTGTAAGAATGAATGAAATCCTGTTTTTACAACAAAATGGATATAACTGGAAACCATTATACTTAGTGTAATAAGCCAGTCTCAAAAAGACAAATATGTTTTCCCTGATCTGTGGTAACAAATAAGAGTACCAAAAAAAGTAACATATATGAGCAAAATTGATTTTTTGAGATTTGATGATCATTTATAGCTCTTGTCTCTACTGTTGAGGAATAGTTTTTTTTCCTTCCTACTATTTGTTGAATTCTTTAATTAGTGCAGCGTTAAGCTTATGATTATAAAATAAACAAAGTATGTCTTTGTAAAAATTAAAGAACAAGAAAGGATGGAGGAGAGAGGGTGGAAGTGTGGGTAGGAGAGATGGTGGTGTGGGAAGTATCACTATGCTCCTAAATCTGTATATACAAAATTTGTGCACCTTACAAAAATAAAAAAATTGGAAAAATAAGATTATTTATTTTTATTTGAAATGCAGAATGACAGAAAAAAAGAAATCTTCCTTTGCAGGTTCATTTCCCAAATACTTCCCATGGCTGGTGCTAGGCCAGAGTGAAGCCAACACTCAGAACCTCTGTCTAGGTCTCCCACATAGATGGCCAGGATCCAAGTACTTGAGCCATCTGCTGCCTCCCAGGGTGTGCACCAGCAGGAAGCTGGATCAGAAGTGGAAGGGGGACTCGATTCCAGGCACTCCCACGTGCAATACAACAGTGTCCAAAGCAGTGGACATTGTCTCAAGACATTCACTGTTTTGATTCATGATGGACTTTAGAATAACTGCTTTTTAAAAAATTTTAAAATTTGTATCATAAGAGCATCAGGGTTTTTCCCCCTATACTAGTCATGTTTTGTTTAAGCAGAAATACAGCAGAAAAAAATGGGCAAAGAAGGAAAATTAGGATTTAATGTATCTCCCCTTCCCATTAACCAGTAGTGCCCTGATATCCCAGTATTATTTACATTTTGACCAAATATCCAAGAGATAAAGCTGTTGTTAGACAATGAATGATAGTAATTGTATCAAAAACAAAAGTAACAAGAATTAGATATCTTCCAATAACATTTGGTGTACCAGGTTTTGGAGAGGCAATGCAGAAGTTGCAAACTTCTCTCAAGTGAACTGAAGGCCTATCTCCAATGTGTTCTGTGACCATCACTAGAAAAAATGACTACATGCATAATATTCTCTTGTGGATTTTACTCTTTAGGTTTCAAGGCGATGAAAACAGACTTATCAATTGTCTTTACGTTATTTCCGTGAAAGTGTAAAAGGCTGGCCTTCAGCACACGGCCCAGGTGACAGGTGTCGCATGCCACTTGAACCCCAGGAAAGTGCCATTCCAGTTGGAAAACGAAAGCTAACTTGCTATTAAGGGCGTCACCACGCAGTCAGAGTGCTGGGAGTGTATCTCTTCCGCAGCCATCACGCTGCCTGCACCCTCCTCCCCCGCCCCCCCGCCATGAGTTTCCACATTGCGCCTCTTTTCCCAGAATTTCTTATGAGTAACAAAGGAAGCCAGCGTAGGAGCAGTGGCATGTTCCCGGCTCCCAGAGTGACACACATCAAAGGCAGACATTCCTTCCTGCACCGGGCAGAAACGGAGTTCCGTGCCGTTGCGACACAGCCGAGAGGGAAGGCCCTTGGTCTACTGGAGCCGGGCAAGTTCCTTGGTGGGGGCCAACTTGCTGCTCCAGGGGTTCGCTGCCCAGGTGGGGACCGCACTTCTGGCTCAAGGGCCAGACAACCAGCGTCTCTAAGTTTCTACTTACTGTTGCAGAGTCTGTAAACAGGGCACTTACCTCAGCGGTCATTCCAGGAGAAATCCTCGTATACATGCAACGCTTAACAAAAGGCCAGCTGTTAACCACAGCCAACGTGCTATGAACATTTCTCTGAGTTACCCAGATTGCAGCCCCACCAGCCTCCCCTGTCTGGCTTTCATTAGCCCATCGGCGGAACAACAATCTGTCCCCTCCCTGTGCCTGTCGCCTGTCTGTGGCAACCGGTCTGTGCTTGTAGGCCAGCTCCTCCACCCAGTCCACAGCCCCAGGCCTGAGGGCCACCGGCCTTGTTCGCAGGCCCTGGCCTGCCCCCACTGCCACCCGCCTGCTCCAACGACACTTCCCAGACCTATTTCAACGCAGCCCTTCCGCGTCAGAAGCTTCCCCAGAGCCAACCACCCATTCTCCCTCAGCCTATCTCACTGTGAAATCGAATCCAGCCGGGACGCAGCGGTTCACGCGCTTTCTCTGCCCACAGACGCATGGCTGTCCCGCCGGGCCCTCGCGTACTGGGGCTTCCGGTCTTTGACGCCAATCAAACCCCAGCCCTGAGGACCGCGGGCCGTGCGCAGCAGCAGGTCACGTGACGGCACTGACCTCTGGGGGCGGGCTTTCCCTCACGCAGCATCTTTATCTCCTCCGAGAGCTCCAGCGCCGTGATGGCGGCCTCTTGTTTAGCGATTGCCAAATCGGTTTGCAGCTTTTCCACTTTCTTTTTGTGCTCCAGTTTCTATAAATAAATAAATAAGCAAGTAAATAAGTGTTTCCGGCAGAGGAGACAGACACACCGGCAGAGCAGAAGGAATGAATGACACCGGAATAAACAGTGGTTTGCAGCGCGCAGAGATGGCGCTCCTTGCTTATCTACACGCATTGCTGTCTGAGCCCTCGACCATGGAAGCCCACCTTCTAAAGCACAGCATCTTGTACCCCTGCGAGGGCTTGCACGTGGATCTGAACCCTGAGCAACGCTTGCCTGTTGGAGAAAAAGTCTGGTTGCCAGTTAGCACTGAGCACTTAGGGACTAACGCCCAAAGACATGAGGGCTTTCTCCAGGTTGTACGGAGACTTGTGACCTAGTCAGAGCCTCGATTCTGGGTCATTTTCCCTCCAATAGTTCCGTGTTCCTTGCACCCCAGTGAACTCTGAAGTGTGTGATGTTGCCAGCAATGCGGATGTGGCCCGATACTCACTCTGAGATCCGTCTCGGAAAGGGGTTAAGACGAGCCGTGGTTTCCAAGCGGTGAAGCCCAGGAATGCTGAGCTATTACTAATCTGACTGCCTGGGTCTAACCCTCTGGCAAACTACCTTGGAAGATTATTACATCCTCAAAGGATTCATCTCGAGACTTCCAGAAAGCTCCTTTTATGGATTTCAACGTGAATTTGGGCAAACACAGGAGTTCTCTGCAACTTTGGAGGAACCGCCTCTTGGGAGAACTTTCCTGTTGCGCTTGGGCTTTTCCACTGCCGCACACACCTTGCCCAGGCTCCCTGGGCTGCTGATCAGGACATCCAGGAAGTGAATGGCTAACTCTGCTTATCCACCCGACATCAGGAGATAGGGAAAGGCATGGTTTGTGGCGTCTGAAAGGTTATCATGGTGGGGCAGCAAGGAATCACCCTCTGCTTTCAGAGTAATAGACCAGACCTCCTATTTTTAAAGACGGGCTGTCTCCCTCTCCTGGGCCCAAAGCACCGAGATAAGGATTTCACTGCAGGGAACTTGTTAGCAGGCACTTGTTTTGCAATTTTGCAAAGGAGAATGGAACTTCTTTAAAGGGAGTTGGTGGAGTAGAATTCGCGAGGATCCACCCAGCTCAAGCCGAGGAGGTCTGTCCTGAGCCAAAACACAGGTGCGGGTCTTAGCAGGTAGTATTCCTGAACTCCCTCCACGCACTGGTGTGTCAGGTGCTTAACGGCCCTGAGTGTCACCAAGACTGACAAGGTCTCTGCCTCCAGGCCACTAATGCCTTCCAGTGAGTTCCCTTCTCTGAGTCTCTATTCGCCAAAATCCTTCCTGATCCAGTCTCCCTTGTAAATTAGTGCAGAGAGGGACTCAACCGCTCAAGAACTATGTCTGTTTGATAGCTGTGTTTATTGCAGGGAATTGTGAAACGGTTTGAATCAGACCGTGATTATGTGATCCATTCCAGACCTGCAGCAAAGCACCGGGCAGGCCAGCAGTGGTCGTCTGTGACCTTTCCTGACGCTTCTTCAAGACTCTTCCATGCTCAGATTTTTATACTTTCCCGAGCTTTGAAGACAGTAAGTGGAAGGAAGGACACAGAAATGAAAATTGAGAAGGGAGGAAGAAGGAAAGTATGGGGCCGACGCCGCGGCTCACTTGGCTAATCCTCTGCCTGCGGCGCTGGTACCCCGGATTCTAGTCCAGGTTGGGGCGCCGGATTCTGTCCCAGTTGCTCCTCTTCCAGTCCAGCTCTCTGCTGTGGCCCGGGAAGGTAGTGGAGGATGGCCCAAGTGCTTGGGCCCTGCACCCTCATGGGAGACCTGGAGGAAGCACCTGGCTCCTGGCTTCAGATTGGCATAGCGCGCCAGCCATAGCAGCCATTTGGGGGGTGAACCAATGGAAAAAAGGAAGACCTTTCTCTCTCTCTCTCTCTCTCTCTAACTCTGCCTGTTAAAAAAAAAAAAAAAAGGAAAGTATGGCAAGAAGGGTTCAGAATGGAGTGTGAATTATAAGGATCAAAAGTGAACTCATAATGATAAGCATGGTGAGGTATTAAGCATTAGGTTTACTGCAAAGAGCAGGTGACGTTGAAATACATACAAAAGTAAGAGGGGTGTTCTGATGGAGGCATGAAAAAATATGTCATAAACTCAAAGTGGCAAGAATGCTAATTATAAAATCTAGCTGTTGAATATATGGGTATTCACTATAAATTATTTCCTCTTTTCCATGTGTGTGGAAATTTTCATTATAAGATACTGGGAACAGAAAGATCTAAGGTTTTGTTCTCTTATGTTGATCATCCTCTAATTCCTTTTCTAAAAATACATTTACTAGTTTATTTTTATCTACTTGAAAGGCAGAGAAAGAGAGAGAGATTGGAGGTATCTTCCATCTGCCAGTTTCTCCCCAGATGCCTGTAACAGTCTGGCCTGAGCCAGGAAGCTGGAACTCCACCCAGCTGTTCTCCTTGGTGTCAGGGGACCAAGCAGCCAAACCATCATCCACTAACTCCCAAGATGCATTAGCAGGAAATGACTGGAAGCAGGGTAGCACAGACACAAATGAGCACTCTGAGATGGGATGCAGGTGTCCCAGGTGGCAGCTGAACCTCCTATGTCACAATGCTGGCTCCATCCTATAATTCTTGTTTTATGGCATTTTAAATGCTCAGATCATATCACAACTATTCATAAGCAGACAAGTACTTTTTCTAGAAAATGTCCTTAAATTAAGTACTGACAGTGAACAAAAACAATAAGTGTAATTCGGTGAGCATTGATGGGAAGTCACTAGGACTGGTGTGGTGCCTGTCATGAAGAAAAAAACTTAAACAGCTGCGTTTCCATTTTGATGGGGTAACTTGATTGTTAGAATGTAGGGACCCAGTGCAGACACAGAGTTCCACAGTGTCAGTTAAAAATCTCAGTTTTATGGTTAAAAACAAATTTAGCTCTTCAAAAAAAAATTCTAATTTCCAGAACACCTTTTTTGTCTCTTTCCCACAGTGATGATGTGTTCTACGGCTTCTTGTTGTTACAGTATGATTGTGTATTTACCATATGATCTGAGAAAGAAATGGAGGATATTTGTTTTGGAGAAGAGAGTGAGCAGGACAGTCCTGAGAGCTATGGGGCTATTCAACAGGAGAGGAAATGGAGACAGTGTTATTCCCAAGACATCATGGAGAACAATGGGGAGAAAACACAAAGAGGCAGATTTTGGCACAAAATCTGACAATGTAACCTCCAACAATGAGCACTCCATCCATAACAACATGGGACGTGTCTTGGCAAAGAGCTCCCACTGTGGGAGCCACCAGGCAGCCCGTAGTCGCCTTGGGGACCTGGGTCAGGAGGTAGCTGGAACTCTGGCTCTGTCCCAGCTCTTTCCTCCACTGGCATCCTCGAGCCCCCTGGGACACAGCACATGCTTGAATGGATGCCTCAGCCATCTTAGCCTCCAGAGGCATTCAAGGACATGTTAAAGAGCATCCCCGTATTTGTGAGAAGTTGGACAAGATAGCCAAGATGACCTGTGAGGCACCACGTGATTTAAAATGTACCAATCATTCTCTAGCTACAAAGGAAATAGGAGGGGGAAATTAGATTGAAATTGAAAACTGAGGAAAGGACCTAGATTAGTTGCCTAAGGTTTCTGTTGGAAACTTTTGGTTACCCAGATACATTCTATAATAGTTTAACATCCTTACCTCCCCCCTTTTTGTTTTGTTTTCTCCAGACAGAACTTCTGTATGCTATTAATTCATAGCTTTAACCAAGCCCTTGGGGCATTCTGAAAAATTCAATTTGCCAACATGTTTTTTATTAGTCATAGACATCAAATGATTTAAGCAATGATAATATTTTCCTTTGCTTTTTTGGCATTCACTTGCCAGGCAACCCAAGTGTTGTACTTGAGTCTCATGGAGTCTATTATGGTCTCCATGGTAACTAGTAACTCTCCTTGGTGATCACTGGAAGGCTGGGAAGGCTTTGCAGCTTGGAGGTAAATGCCTATTACTTTGCTTATTTCCTACTTCTCCTACAGGGTGAAAAGGGAGAGGAAATCATGAATTTGTGCAATGTTTTGAAAAGGAAATATCTCTCTGTATCATATTGTTGAATGGCTTGCATTATAACAAGTCAATGAGCATTGGAAATAACCAGGGAACTATTTATAGAAGAATTTCAACAGAGAGGTGCCAGCACTGTTTAAAATTTCTGGTATTTCCACACACTTTGACTCGGGGCCTCGGTTTATGAGGCTGGGCTTTGTCACTCACCGGCCAGGCACATGGTCTCCCCAAGCCTTAGAGCCCACTTTCTACAGCTATTGTGGTCTCTACTGATGTCCTAGATAGATGACAGTATCCAGCTCTAGGTTTACAATATGCTAGCTGCATCTGTTTTTGTCACTGTCCCTTAAAGCACAAAAGGAAAAGCTCCAACCCATCACACTCAAACAAGCAAGTGTCTTTATGAAAGATGACGTCACATTTTACTGCAAATCAAATTTGTACTTAATGGAATGTGAAGTTGCTGTGTTCTTTTTCTTTCTTCTTTTTTTTAAAATTAAGTTTTCTGCATGATCGCATAGATCAGCTTGTCTCTTTGTACGGGTAGACAAAACTTAATGTTCTGAAAACAGACATGCAAATTGCCTTGATCCAACCTCTTGCCAGAGCTGGCCCCAGGCCGAGGTGCAGTAGGCGGCTCCCACACAGGATGATGTGAGAAGCACTGGTGCCCCACCACATCCTACCCTGGGTAGCTCTGTCTTGGGTCTGCCAGGGCACAGACCTTCTGCTTTATGTAAAATCCACCCTATCCATCCCACTCTTGTCACTTAGAGAGCACATATGACAAAGATGGGGTTTTGTCTCAGGGGCCACTGATCAAATGCTTGCTAACAAAAGGCAAGAAAATTTGGTTTGAATATATGGGGTTCATGTAGCTCCCTCTTTCCATTTCTCTTCTAAAAACCCAGCATGAATAATGAAAGTAATAAAAATGGAAGTAGGGGCTGGCACTGTGGTG